TACCATAATTGTGCTTTACGCTTTAATTCTCCAGAAAGTACATTACTGAATATTAATCATGTAATATTATTGGGTTATATTTGTCTCCCACTACCATATTAAGCCTATTTTCAATTCCGTTCTTAAATAAACTCACACATTACTTAGATTAGTATGGCCATTTACAATTTGTCTATATAATTGTTTTTCTCATTTTATTTCGAGACTTGTTTTATTTTTAATAAATAGACTGTTCTATGTGGTTTTCCGTATCAAAATGCTTGGAGGTGATCACAAACCTCGCTCTTGCCCCAATTTATCTTGTGGTGGGATTTCCATTTTCCATTTCACTGAAGATTACTCTATTTAACTCATGTGCATTTCACTTGAAAACTACTAAATTTACTCTTAATTAAAGCTTTATATCAGGCCTCCGAAAGACGTAAATACTACATTGAGCAACTACTCCAGCCAAATTATAACTTCATACTTGATGTGGTCACGAAGCGATGATATACGAAGCAACTTCCTACACCCTTAATACTAATTAAAGTGTCCAGGCTACCATACTATCTCCCCTAGTTATTCACTGACTTCTTATGACCTTTTTGACTAACAGTAGGATCCACATATTTCTGTCCTTTTGTACTTATAGATATGAACAGGTGGTTATATGCAGAGTCTTTGCTCATTTTTATAATTCACATTTATCTTAATCTATTTATTCTTAACCATTATCTACTATTTTCCAAACTCAGATCGAATTATCTCGATTAGCTCAGGCTCAGGCTGACAAGGCCGCTGTTCTAGAAGTGAACGCCTTACTTGAGTCTCGTTGTGCCCAACTAGAAGAGGCTCTTCAACAGCAACAACTAGAAGAGCATAAAAACCATTTATCACGAAAATCCGGTAAAATCAGCCACCACAGGTGTAGGTGTTTACAACATTACTTCCTTACACAGTTTCCACCCCTCAAACAGAAGCATTCTTTATTGTGCAATGAGGATATCCAGCTCACTGACTTCATTGATGGTTACGAATCACCCGGCAGTTCCTTAGGTTCCTCAAGCGAAGAGCAGCATGAGTTTGATATGGATCGTGGCATTGTTCTCCATGTATCCCAGACGGGAGAAAGGAACCCTCAAGGCAAATTAAATTCTCTTTATTTTGTCAATTTTGCACCAATTTATTTTGCTGCATTTTGGGTTTTTTAACTATTTACTGTTTTATGGGGTTTTGCTTAATCGAATTTCTCGTACATTAAGAGGACTTAGTATTCAAATACTGCTTAAATTCAGAGAAAGTTGCAAATAAATAGGATTGTAGAACTAGATTTCTCAGGCATTTAAGCTAGCAGATAAATACAAATGCATTTTTTATGCACTATAAACATTTT